GAAATCTTTGATTTTGATCCATTTGGAATGATTTATGCACAAATGTCATTCACACTCATACAATCGACTGGTTCTATTGTTAACGATGATGAGATTTGAAAGTTTTTTTCTGTGTTTCGATTTGTTTTTCGATTTGTTTTTGAGCCCTGTTTGGATAGTCGTAACCAATTTTGATTAATTTAATTTCTGATTTTTTTTTATTGCTGGTTTTTGTTGTTATTGTCTGACGCCTTTTTTTTCTCCGTGTTTACTAAACCATATTTTTTTTTCTTGATAAATTTTTTAGAAAAAAAAAGCTTTCAAGAGAATTGAATATTCAATTTGTTCATTTTTTTTTGTACAGAATTGGATACTGTATCAGTGTCTGCAAGTGTGTGTGTAAGAATAGAATGAGTCAATGAACGAGAATTCAAAATAACCAAGTTGAAACCACAAAAAAAAAATTTTTTTATCGTAATAATAGCCATCTTTTATTTTGTCTGTCACACATTTGAATTGTAATCCATCATTCACACATTTCATTGTCTTAGAGTTTTGAAAAATCACCATCACCACACATTCAAACCATTAGCCAATTATTTAGTTTGACCATATATGGAAATTATTTCCACTGATAAATCAATGTTCACTGGCCTTGGTCCGTCATCTTTTTTTTCAAAATTGATCATCTTTATCATCCATCCAGTGGTTCGTTTGTTTTGTTGATTTTTTCACCAGAATCCATAAAGAGATAAAAAATTTTCGTTTCCAGCATAATTATTTATTTATTTCAAATGAAAATATCCAAATGAAAACATTTTCTGATGAATGATCATACCACTGTGGAGAAAAAAAAATTCAGTTTTTTTTTCTTTTAAATTCTACTTGTACTAATCAATTTCTTTTATATGGTAAACAAATTCATCATCTGTTGTTGTTGTTGCTGCTGCTGCTGCTGTTGTTGTTGTTTATCAAACATGAATCAATCAATCATTCTTCATTTTTTTTTCACTTCCGTTACGATTCTGATATTGAAATTCTGCTTTTGGCTACATTTATTGGTCAATATTTATTTATTCATTCATTCATTCATACATTCATTTTTTTCCAGAGTGGATATATTCCATATCGCTATCAGAGAAAGAAAAACAAATTTATCCAGAATTTTTTTTTTTGTTTGTTTGAAATTCTTTTTTTTTATTATTCTGACAAGATTAACATCAAGATATATATACACTGTATGTGTGTGTGTGTGCGTGTATATTTGATTAATTAAATTTCAATGATGATGATGATGAGATGGATATTTTTCATTCGAAACTTTTTTTTCATTTCTTTTCACACACACACACATAAGTAATGAGCAATCAACATTGGATATTGTAACAACATTGTATCGGTAGAAAAAAAAACAAAGTCTTAATAAATGATGATGATGATGATGATGATGATGATGATGATTTTTTTTTTTTTCGTTATCGGCACACATAACACGACTTTTATCATAATAATAATGATGATGATGATTATGATTCTTTTGCTTCTTTTTCTTCGTTGTTATTAATGAATATATATATATGAAATCAAATTAGTAATCTTTGAACGGTTTTTCGCACATCAAATAAATTGATGTGCGAAAAAAAAAAAAAATATTCATTCTTCATCCATAAAGATTTGTGTTTGATATATATAGTAGTTTGCTTTTTCTCTATGTATAAAAACACATACTAACTAATTTGCATTTAAAGTTTTGTGAATTTTTTTTTTTCTTGTCTGTTGTTGAAATGCAAGCGCTAGAATGATGAACTTCATTATTTTTTTTTTTTATTCTGTTGAAAAGTTAAGCTTCCGCGTGAGAGTGTGAAACAGAAAAATATTCAAATTTTAAATGAAATTTTTCTTCTGCTGTTGTTGTTGTCGACATTCATTTATTCATCAGTCGGCCAAAAATCAGAATACAAAAAAAAATGAAGAATTTTTAGCAGCAATAATTTAAAATTGTCATATTGTTTGTCAGATTCTGTTTTTTCGTTGTTTCATTCATTTCAATTCGGTTTGTTTTTTATTTCCTAAATTGATGAATTTCAACTTTCAAATACAATAATACACAATAAGATCCATCAATCAATTAACGTGGATAAAAAAAGAAGTTTCTTTCGTATTCATTTCCAAGATTTTGTTTTGTTTTGTCGTAATAAATAAATAAATAAATAAAGCCTGGATGTCCATCCTTTTTACAGGAAATTTGATTAATACCCAAAAGAAAATAAAATGTTGATGATGATGATGATGATGATGATATCACACACCGTTAGTGTACGTAGATGTTCATTATTCTTTCTTTTTTTTTTTTTTTCACTTAATAATAATAAGGCAATAGAATCATATCACAACATATAGCCATTATTATGTAACAAAAAAGAAGCTTCTTTTTTTTCTATTTCATTCATTCACGCTCATCATCATTCAATTCAATTCCATTCAATTCATTCAGTCCATCATCATCATCATTCAATTCAATTCCATTCAATTCATTCAGTTGGTTCCACATGTCCATTTTAATCTCTTACTTTTCTTGGTGTTGATGTTCTTTATTGTCTTTTTTTTTTTTTTTTTTTTTGTTTCTCTTGTCTAGTTCTGGTTGTATATAAATATATCCTAAGCATATATATAGGTTACGTGCTTAGAATGATTGACTGACTGGCTGACTGACTGTGAGTGAGTGAGTGACCATCATGGATTCAATATCTTTTTTTTATGTTTGAGAATTTTCTTCTTGGTTTTGGCGTGTGTGTGTGTGTGTGTGTTGGATTTCTATTTCAATTTATATCATCTTAATTTTTGTTATTTTTCACTTCCAACATGTGTCGGTAAGTGAGTGAGTGTGTGGGTGTGGGTGTTGCGTTCACACCATGCTAGCCATCAACCAGCCGACCAACCAAACATCCAGACACACACACACACACACACATCACAGATCAATTGACTTTAATCTATTTTTTATCTTTTTTTTTTTCTTTAGTGAAAATATGTTTTGATGTTGTAATCTTTTTATATCTATAATGCTAAAAAAAATATCTATAGTTTATTGTGTTAACAATCAAAAAAAAAAAAAAAAAAAAAAAACAGAAAATGCTCACTTTCATATCAATTCAATTCATTTTTTTTTGCTCATCATCAAAAATGATTAATATATGATGATGATGATGATGAAATTGGCCATCCCCAATTGGGTTTTCTTCCATACATACACACACACACACACGCAGAGAGTGATGACAGTGATCACAACCATTACTATTCAGATTTAACTCAATGATAATGATGATGATAACGTTGATGATATGAAAAATGAATTTTTTTTTTCATTTCATACACGGGCAAACAAATTTTTTCCATTTCATACCATGAATGTTGTTCATCTTCAAATATTCGTATTTGGAATTTTTTTCCCTTGTTCGTGATTCATTGCTTTTTTTTCGTACATAGTATTGAAAATCAAAGAAAAAAAAAAGAAATGAGAAAGCGAGGAAAAAATTCAATGAAATTCTTCATCTTTAGCTAATACTTCACAGTTGATATGATTTTGCTTGGATATTTTGTTTTTCATTTCATATTGCATATAAGAATAATGTTATAAGACCAACCAACAATTATTCTTAAATGTGGCTCCCCTACTTCGATCCAATAATATATTTCTTGGGTCAAATTCTGAGTTTTTCTTGACAAAAAAAAATTTTGCACACACACACACACACACTGTGCATCATTACATTCTTTGATTGTTTTTAGTGATTATTTTTTTTTTTTTTTCTATTGAATATCATCATGGGATTTTTCGATTTTTTTTTTGGTCCGTTCAATTTTGTTTCTTTTTTTGACTTTATGTAATGAATTTATATACTAACAACCATTCAGCCCTTTCTAAAATGCCAGATGTCAGAGAATAGCTTAATTTTTTTTTCTCAATCAATTTGATTCGATTTTTTTTTTAATTTCATTATTAAAAATTTTCACTTCTTCACTCAATTTGTGAATTTTTTTTTCGTCAATTTTCTTCATTGTTTCAAATCGTCAATATTGAATACATCTGGTGTGTGTATTTTTCATCATCGATTTATTCATTATCATTTTCATTAGTTTTGCTTTCAAATCTAAATGATAATTCATATTGAACACACGGGTATTGAATTGAAATTGATCGTAGAATTTTTCGTTTTGTTTTGATTGATTATGATAATGATAATGATGATGATGATAAGCCGCTTAAATAATTAGAGAAAATCGTCTTGTGTAATATATATATGAAAAACAAAACAAAAAGAAGGTCCATTCACAAACAATCAGTTCAAACATTTAATTCATACACATATGTCATTTATATTTTGTATATATAATGCTACCATTTATTTTAATTTATTACCCAAAAAAAGAGAGAGAACATAGTACATGAGATAAACCTTTTTGTTGTTGTTGTTACTTTTCCATAATGGATACTATGTTTTTTCCCCTGGTTATATCTGGTTCTTTTTCTTCTCATCAAGACTTATTTCCATTCGATTTTGATTTTATTTTTTGTTTTGTTTCTACCGGACCATTGAAGCTTGTATTTTATTTCATTCCATTATGGCTCATATATACGATTAATACTGTTGCTGCTGCTGCTGCTGACATGTTTCATTTCCTATTAATTCGACACAAGAATCTTTTATAGATAGAAAAACCCGACAAACAAACAGAATAAACAACACACACACACACACAAATATTGGCTAAATATTTTTTCTCTCACTCTAGTTATTCTTTAGATTCTTGAAATAATCTCATACCGTATCTGTTATGGTTTTACCTTTCAACCGAAAATTCATTTGTAAAAATTTTTTTCAAAAATCAATTTTATTATTTACATTTGCAAATTTTTTAATTTACAACAATTTTTGAAAAGAAAAAAAAATTGTTTACATTTTATCGTCGTTGTTGTTTGTTTATCACATCAATTTTTTTTTCGTTGAATTTGAAGCTCAATGTATTTTTTTTTGTCGTTGTGTTTGTATTTGGTCCAGTTTTAGTGGATCAAGTTTTTTTTTTAGTTTTCCAATCACCACTGTAATGATAAAATTATTGATGATGAAAAAATTTGTAAATAACCACACGAAGAGATTTGCCCAATGAATGATAATTTTATTTTGATCATCATTTTTAGCATCACTGATGAATGAATGAATTGATTTATCATTTCCAAAAAAATTTTCATCATCATATTCATTATCATCATCATCATCATCGTTGTTGTTGTTGTCATTGACAAATGTATGATTTGATTGCAATTTACGTCGATGATGCTCATCCAATGATGATGATGATGTTTGAAGAGATTTGTGTCCAACTTTGAAAAAAAAAAAAATTTCAATTTAAAGTTTATTTTTTTCCATTATAAATGAAAAAAAAACTTACCATTTTTATATCGATTTATCAGCAAATTCTGTTGTGGTGTTGGTGATTGATTTTCTGCATTTTTTTGTTGCAAAATTCATAAATTCAGTGATAAAAAAAAGAATTAACCACTTACCATAAACACGTATAAGGCCTTCTTTTTCGCCTAAAATATTTTTCGCTAAACATTTAAATGTACCAAAATCATTAACAGTTAGATAATTGATTATTAATCTCATTGTAATACGATAACCATGATATTCTTCATTGGCTTCATATTTATTATTAATGTTTTCTATTGTTTGATGATTCGACGATAATAATAAAGATCGATTATTATTATTGCTAATCGTCGATATTATTGCCATTGTTGCTGTTGCTGTTGTTGTCAATTGTTGTTGTTGTTGTTGTTGTAGTTGTAATTGTTGTTGTTGTGATATTGAAGGATTAGCAATAATTGGTATCTCTGATGGCGTGATCCATATTGCTATTGGCCGTGGATATGCTTCACACATACAAACTAATTGAATTCTAGATCCAACATGAGAACTAATTAGTTGATTTTGAACACGAATTTTTGGCCGAACTGTCAGTGAAATCAAAATCAAAATCAAATTTTTTTTTCGTTCGTTCGTTCGTTGTAAATGTAATTGAATGAGAAAAAAAATGAAAACGAAAAATGAATTTCAATCAAAATAAAATTCATTCACCATTGGGTTTCAGATTGGAAACAAAACGAAACAAAAAAAAAACAAACTCACAATTGACATGAAGTAAAACACGTCGACTTATGCTGGGCGGTACACCGTTTGAAGCAATACAAAGATAGGCACCCATATCCTCTGTTTTGTTTTGTTTTTTTTTGTTCCAAAGAATAACATGCAATTAATTCCTGTTTTTTTTATTTTGAATTTCAATTATTATTACCTCTTGTCACTTGTGTTAGATTCAATTGACTACCATCGAATGTTTGAACTTTTTTTGTATATAGCAAAGAAAATTGAAATTGAATTGAAATTAATTTCATGTCGATAATCGATCAATAATATATCGATGGATACCTGAATATTTTTGGCCACCAAATAATCCTAGATTTATTGGTTTACCATTTTCACGTCTCCAGCTAATTTTTGGTTTTGGATATCCTTTCGCCGAACATTTAAGTATTGCTTTTTGATGTTCATCAACTGTTGTATCGGAACTAGTACGATCTTCGTTCAATATTGGTGGCACTGTGTGTGTGTGTGTGTTTTTTTTTGTCCACAATCAATCAATAGATTATTAATTATGAATTCAGCAATGAGCAAAAAAAAAATTCCAAAATACCTTGTACATCTAAATGACCAACTTGTGAAATCATTGTTTTGGCATTCACCTGGCACATATAATTACCACGATCTGATAAACGTACATGTTTTATATTTAGGAACCATTGACGATCACTATTCTGTGTAACACGATATTTTCGTTCACCAAATAATGTATCCATGCCTATTGTCAATACTGTTGGTTCACTATTCGATGAATCCATTTTAAGCCATGCTACTTTATATGGTCCTAAATTCTCTACAGAACATTCTAATATTGCATTACGACCTAATACTGTTGTTGCATTTTCAATTGGTTTTGTAAAATATGGTATTATATCCTGATTTTGTTTATTATTATTATTATGATGATGATGATAATGATGTTTATGTTTGTAATGATGTTGATTATTTGATGAATTTTCACTATTTGTATGACAAACTATTTGCATACAAGAAAAAAAATTCATTTGAATAGAATAAACAATCAATTAAAAAAAAGAAACTATGACTTACATTCTAATTGATAGATTAATATTATTGTTTCAATTGAAACGATAATTAATCGTTTGATAATCATGATTGAACATAGATCACAACAACAATGAATCAAATGATGATGATGATGTTGTGTTGAAAAAAACAAATTCTTTAGTCAAACAAACAAACAAAAAAAAAATTTATTCAACACAAGACACACACACGGAATATTTTTGGATGAAAATTCCTTGTCGATGGAATGGATGGTTGTTTTTTCAATGACATTTTTCGAAAAAAATTTCAAATCAATAAATCTGTAATGAATTTCCTTTTTTTTCCACTCATTGGTCATGAACACCATTCACACAACAAACACTGTCACATTTTTTTTCGGGAATAAAAAAAAAATATTTTCCCGCTTCAAATAATTTCGTACGATTGGACCATGGAACAACAATGGTTTCACGATATATATAAGAATTCATGTTACAAACTGAATTGTATCCAATGCTGGTGTCTGGTTTTTATATGAACCAGCCAGCATAACCACCAGCCAACAGTGTGTGTGTGTGTGTGTGTGATTTAACTCAATTTTTCAACAACAACAACAACAACAACAGAAAATAAAACGAACGAACCATTCTGCTATATAATAATTTCATATACGATTGTCGATGATTCTGATTCCGATTATTCCGATTTTTTATAGTTCATGATGATGATGATGATGATGATGTTCCATGTGTATATTCACCGATTCTCATCAGTTTTTTTTACATATCATTCGTTTATGTTATTCAAAATAGATTCAATCATTGGATGAATTGAATAGCCGTTTCTCATCATCATCATCATTATTATCATCATCAGAAGAAAAAAAAACATTCTCATAAACGATTCAAAAGGTTAAGAAACAAAATTTCTGAGTGTGTGTGTGTGTGTGTGTGTGTGTGTAAAGAATCTATTAAATATTTAAGTTTTTTTTCCATTCGGTCCTTCTCTCCAGAACTTTTCACATCTCATTTGATTATTCAACAATGATGATGATGATGATGGTGTGTTGAAAAATATTCAAATTGTATCAATATTGACATACACACACACACACAAAAAATTTTTATCTTCCACTATTGTTGTTGTTGTCGTTGAAAACTTGAGATTGATAAAATATAATTTTCTCTTCATTTTAAACAACTTACCTCATTGTAATTCAATTTGATTGATAAAAGAGTTTTATCTTTCTGGTGAAAAATAAAATCATCATCACCATCATCATGACCAAAACTTTATGCAAATATTCCATATACATTCAACTTGATTTCAAATCAATTTGATTGATATAAAAGTTTACAATTAATCAATTTCTCTGGCTAACCATCAGAAGAGAACCTGATTTTTTTTCCATCCTTTTTTTCATTGATTAAAATTCAATCATGTTTAACAAACAACAACAACAGCAGCAGCAGCAACACAAACAGAATCCAATGTAACAATGGATGTGGATGAACTTGATTGCTGCCTTGTTTTCGATCCGATCCGATCCGATACGATCAGTTTGATTTGCAATATTGATCGGTTGTTTTATGCTTGAGATAAAAAAAAAAGTTTTATTTTTTTTTTTCTTCTTCTTCTTCTTTGATCACTGAACAACGATTCTAAAGAAAACTATAAAAATCGAACAACAAAGCCACATCAAACACGATGATCTTTTCTCACCGATGATGATGATCACTGACTATATCAAGATGACGACGACGTTGACGACGATGATGATCATCAAACATTTTATTTTACAATAAATTGATGTTGAAGTAGTAAAAAAAGGTTGCCTACCCCATCTTTAATGCGACTATGAACTTTTTTTTTACAACACACAGGCAGATAGGAATTTACATTCAAAGAGAAAGATTCTGTTGTTTAATAAATGTTGTCTGTTGTTGTCTGTTGTTGTTGTTGTTGTCATAGTCGTTGTTTTGTGTTTTGTATCAAGATCATCAAATCAAATCAAACGATGAATTTGCCTAGCTTGATTTGACTGAGTTGCTAAGTTATCGAAAACAAGCAAGAAAAAAAATCAAAAAAAGTCAAAAAAATTCAAATGAATTGGTGTTTTTTTTTTGTTCTTGTTGAAGAATAAAAAAAAAGAAATAAATCTAAATGGTTCAAAAGAGAGAAAGAGAGAAAATATTTCTCTTGGTACGTGTTTTTTTTTGCTGTTGAGATTTTCAAATTTTTCATTCGGATTTCAGTCAGCCAATATATATATACTAAGAGATCATGTTAGCCGCTTGCTTGAATGTTCATCTCTGAATCTTTTTTTTTTGTTTCAAATGTTTCGATTTTTTTTTCGATTCTGCATTCAGTTTCTGTGTGTGTTCACTTTAAATCGTTGTTGGCAAGCAAGCAAAAAAGCTTTGATTTTTTTTTTATTTTCAATCTAAAAAAAAACGATCGTTACATGTCTCTTGATGTGTTTTGTTTTTCGTTTTGATTCGTTTCAATACATACAATTCCTATACTGAGACATACACACACACAGGATACTATGGAGGACAAATGGCGGTAAATCGTTATTTTTTTTTTGGACCCAAAAGAATCTTTCAAAGACTCATTCGCTTTACGGTCAATTAATTTTTTAATTTTTTTTTTCACATTTCTTTCCATTGCCATAGATTTGTTGTATTTATTTTTGTTTCAAATTTTCAACGACAACAACAACAACAACAATTTGCAACAACAGAAAAAAAAACTTCATCATTGATAAACCAAACCAATGGCTCATTTTTTTTTTTTTTTTGGTTTCACTCGAAAAATGAAATTTTTTTTTTATTTTTCATCAACAAATTTTGTTTTTTTTTCTGAAGAAAATCTTATTGTTTTTCAATCATAACAAGAAATTCTGTGATTAAGAATTTTTTAGAATTCATTCATGATTGTTATCTATAATTTTCAATTTTTATTTCTTTGTATCCGGATCCAAACAACGTGATAACGGAAACTATATTTGTTATAATGATGATGATAATCATCATCATTATTACTGTGATTGATCACTATGCAGTATATGCAGTAATTTGTTTGTGGTATTTTGAATTGGCAACGGAAACTTGGAACTTTTTTTTTTGATTGCTAAAAACTTGAATAAGAAAATAAATTTTTCCACTAAACAACAATCGGAATGTTATGAAGTTAAAAAACAACATCATTGAATCATTGAATCATGGTGTGCAAAAAAAATTTGCGAACCAAAATCATCACCATCATAACGCAACAAACGAGGACGAAAAAAAATTTCATAAATTCCAAAATCCATTGGTATGGCAAGATAATTTCTGACCTAAATACAATGACAACCTCGATATCATTTTTTTTTTTTGTTTGCGTTTGACCAAACATTTAGCAAATGGAAAAAATTGTAACAATTAAAGCAAATGTTCATGACCATCATTGCATTTCATTTAATTTTTTTCGTTTTAATTTTATTGCTTGATTTAATTTCCATTATTATGTGTGTGTGTGTGTGTGTGTGATTATCAATTTTATTTTCTTCATTTACCATATTCGATCATTTTGATTTGATTCGATTTTTTTTTCTTGGATATTTTCATTCTGGATATGTCATATTTACATCATAAATTCTCTGCAATTGTTATGGTTTTCTGTATTGGACATTGATTTTTTGTTTGTTTGTTTGTTTGTTGTTGACACTTGCTGGTTGCAATATTTTTTTTTTATTTGTGTGTGTGTGTGTGTGCATTGTCATTCGGATGTAAAAATTAATCACAAATGATTAGTTTCAAATGTTTAACTTGTATTTTGTTTCTAATATATATATTTGGTGGCCAAAGAATTCTTGTGTGTGTTTTATATATCAATTCGAAAATGATGATATTTTTTTGTTTCAGTTTCAGTTTCATTGATTTTTTTTTCACTGTATCCAAAAAAACAAACAAAAATTATCTTTGATTTCATTTTTTTTTCTCTCTCATTGGCCATTTTGTTGTTGTTGTTGTATATTAATAATAATTTTCTATATTCCAATTTTTATTTTCGCTTTCTTGCACACATACACACACACACACACCATGTACGATTCATAAATGATAAATAGAAAAATTCGTTTGATGATCGTTCCAACGTCAATTGTCAGAATTCAGAATTTTTCCAGTATACCACATTTCATCATCATCATCATCATCATCATTATTGTCGTAAAGTAATAATGGGGCGAAAACAAAAATTCTGCTCTGTCTGACTCTCTGATTTTGCTGGTGCTGAAATGGCTTCAAAATTTTTTTTCTCATTTCACTACATTCTAGTTCATTCAGAAGTTTTTTTTCTATTTAGTCTAAGAATTTTTTTCTTCTTCTCGTTTTTTTTTTTTGGTATTAAAACTTTTTATAATTAAAGAATGCTTCATTTAATTTTGTAGAAAACTTGTGTGTGTGTGTGTGTGTGTGTGCGTGGTACATATACCATATAGTATCTCTATTATTATTATACATCCATTATATGAGGGGGTGGTAGGGTGTGTGGTGGCTGACAAATCACAGGATCTTAGTTATTATAAAGATTTTTGTTTGAAGACAAGAAAAATAAAGAAAGATAATCAAAGCTTATGATTGTCAAAATGGATTCTTATACGGGGATCTTTGTTTTCATTTCATTTCATTCATTTGGTTTGGTTCATTTTCGATCCAATTTTCTTCGACACACACACACATGGTGAAAATGAAAAGCCCTTGAATCGTTGAATGCAATTATCATCATCATCATTACTAATTAACACTTTTTTTTTTTTTTTTTCAAATTTTCTTTTCCATATATATAAAGATTATTAAGTGTTACCATTGTCTAGATTCAAAATCGAATTCAATTTTTTTTCAATTTTATTTTCATTTTCATTGATTATTATTA